CTACTCATGAACAACAAAAATAAGTCGCTCGTGAAATTAACAAGTCAAGCAATGCGAACGCCCCTGTTTTAGTTACCACAAGAGCCGCTTGCCCAGCCAATACCATCTCAAATACCAGCTCAACTAATACTACCACTTCCACTGCAAATGCAACCCACAAATCCTCAGTCATTGTTGTCATCAGTACCTCTGCCATCATCGCATCCTGCACCACCAATAATATCTTGATAAACGTAACCACAATACTCATTGCATAAACCTTATCATTAGCAGCACATACAATAGGAGACGGGTACCTACGTTTTCGGGCGCATAATTCATGCTAGCTAAACAGACCAAAGCTTGAGGGTTAGGTTAAGACTAAAAACAACATCTTAAAATGCCATCCCGGATATTATCTTTGTCAAAGAGACTTAGTTTAACGAGTTTTCTTAAACAGATATGACATGCTATAATCTGCATTGACAAGACAGAGGCTCTCGTGGAGGTGGTGATGGTTGCTCTGTGACAAGACCGTTAGGTCTTTTTTAGGCACCTAAAAAAAAAAGGAACTGTACACCACGTATAATTGACCTCACCTTGAGTACGCTATCCAGGCGTGGTCACCATACCAACAGGGAGAAACAGACCCGCTACAGAAAGTCCAAAACCATGCTATCAAAACAATTTCTTTTTTTACATATAAAACCCTGAGCAGAGATACTGTCAACCATAAGATTCTTATCTATAAACTACGCAATTATGGAGCAGTTCACTCTAATTTAAAGTGGTTGCAATTTTATTTAAAAAATCGTAAGCAAGAAGCACCATATGATTTACTATGCACACAATTTGAATCAATAAATTAATGTGTTTCTCAAGGTAAATATATGGACTTTTGCTGTTTTTAATTTATATAAATGATATTTGTTTGTCCTCAAAAATACTTAATTATATTATTTTTGCTGATGACACTAAATTTTTTTTTTCAGACTCAAATTTAAAGAATACTTCGTTATGTAAACAAAGAACTAATATATCCTATGAGTGGTTTAAAGCAAATAAACTTTCAATGAATAATGATAAAACTAAGTATATTTTGTTTGCTTAACAATCTAAATCTGAAAATCTTCCACTTAAACCACCAGAACTAACAATTAGCAATATTAAAATAAAAAGAGTTTTTTTAATGAAAATATTTAGAATAATTTTCAATGAACATTTAATTTGGAAAAGCCAAATAAAATATGTCGAGAATAAAGTTTCAAAGATTCTGGGGATTAAGTACAAGACGAGACATTTTTTGAATAAAATATGTTTAAAAAATTTAAACTATTTATTTATATGAAGTCATATTAACTATTGTAATATTGCTCGGGCAAACAATCAATTATCTTTCCTAAAAAATCATAAATTTAATGGAATGCAGTAAATACTTATTGAGACACTCAATAAGTATTTACTACATTCCACAAACATCACATGACGTGAATTAAAAAAAAAATCTATTGATTATTTAAAGAAACTATAAAAAAACACTTACAAAATTTAAACAATAAATCTTTCTTTTTTTTTTGGCAAAAAACGTTTTTTGGCTTTAGTTAAAAAAACAGACACGTCACCCCCACTCCCCTTTTAAATCTCTTCGGGACGCCCCTGATTACCATATGTAAATGTACCAATTTGTTAATTTTTTTTTAAAAAAAGATTTTTTTTCATGCAAACTTTATAACATTTTTCAACTTTATCATAATCATTTTTCAACTTAATCATAATCATTTTTCAACTTTATCATAATCATTTTTTTTTTCAAACTTTTTAGTTTCACTCTTTTGTATAACATTAGAACTTGTAAAATCATAAATATTTTTTTATCTATTTCACAATGGGGCTTGATGATAAGACATTTTGTCTTCTACTTGCCCCAGTCAGATTGTAGTTGTATATATTATTAGGTCTTAAGGATAACATTGTAAAATATGCATTATGTAAGGTGATAATCAACGTCTGGCACAGCAACGAGTACTGGACTATATGCAGAGAAATTCTTTACAAACCATGTTGAAACCAGTGGAATACCCTGCCGCAAACAGTAACCCACGCAACTTTCGTTAGCATGTTTAAAAATTGTCTGGATGAATATTTAAATTGGTAAATGAGAAGCATAAAAGCACAATGTCTTTTAAGATATATAATATAGCAACTGATTTAGTCATGTTAAAATCTTTACACAAGTTGTGAAATATCAAGTTCAGTAGCAAAAGTTGTTATTTTTAAATTTATGGTAACAAATAAGTATCTTGAAGTGGATGTTGCAACTCATACAGTTGAAATAAAAAACTTTATTACTGATATAACGCCGCAACATATTTGACCATTTTGTTTAACTGTCAGACGCCAATATGGGCTAATAGATGTATTTGGCTCCTCTCCTTTAAATATTTTTTTATTAATATAAGGAATGAATTACTGATCTCAAAATACAGCGTTGACAACGCCATGGGGGTTGGGGCGGGGGGCACGTATCACCCTTTTTTCTAAAGGACCTTATTTTTTTAAGAAAATTGTAGATATAGAAGATCCACTTCGAAACTCGTGTCGTCAGCCCTGCATTAAAACTTGTTTTTAAATGCCAGGAAAAATGAATAGATGTAGACTGATCTGATTGAAGCAAAACTTCCAGTTTCTTGTGATAATGCCGCAACACAACGTTTAGAGTTCTGGCTCAGAACCAAGAGGTTTAGGTTTGATGCTGCCTCTAGCCTCAGCAATATTGGTATAAGAAGGAGAGACCTTTCTTTTTAAATACTCGTCTGTGATAAGGCTTTGTTTCTTTTGAGCACCTTAATAACTAAAAAAAAAATTAGCAGAGTTATATTTAGTATGCACGCCAAAATTAGGGTGTGCATACTAAATATATCTCTATTTTTTTTTTTTTTTTTATTATTTTAGTTTACCAAAAAACGGCAAGAATCTGTAAAAAAAATTTTTTTTGCTGGGTGGTTCAGCGTTGTTTTGAAAGGAAAAATGACTAAAATGGGACTAATTAACAGGGCAAAACTATAACTCAAAAAAACATGAAATTTTTGATTAACCCATGCATAAATACTGATGCTGATAAATTGACCAATCTAATTGAGTGGAATGATTCATTATACGAACCGCTACTTACCACAAGCCTTCCCTCCCATAAAGTCAGAAAATATTTTCACAAGCCTATGGCTGTTCCAGATTGGCCATGTCATTTCCAATCCATCGAACGTTGCGTTAAGCAGGTTTCTTTTTTATACATTTACAAAAATATAATAAACTGTTTGTAATGTTTAATATAGGTTGCAGAGGTTTGTGTAAAAATATAATTCTATGAGAAGCGAGTAGGGTATAAGAGCACAAGAAATCAGTAGTGGGTTTTATGAGCACAAATAATGCAAAATATAACTTAGTTGAACTCACAAAATATGTTAAAAAAATTTAAACTATTCATTTATACGAAGTCATATTAACTATTGTAATATTGCTTGGGCAAACAATCAATTATCTTTCCTAAAAAATATTTATACAAAAAAAAACCAAGCAAGTTGATTAGTTTTGGACGCAGATAGCTACAAAAGTGTAGAGCATTTACTCAAGGAAATAAATGCTCTAAATTTATACGAACTAAATTTGTTATTTATGTTTAAACTTCAAAATAAAATAATTTCAAAATATATTTATAAAATTTTTTCTCTAATTAATCATAAATTTGAAACAAGACACTCAATAAGTATTTACTACATTCCACAAACATCACATGACGTAAATTAAAAAAAAATCTATTGATTATTTAAAGAAACTATAAAAAAACACTTACAAAATTAAAATTTACATGTAATTAACAATATTGTTAATTACATGTAAATTTTAATAAAGATATCAGTATTATTAATATTTATTATAAATGTATTAGTATATAATATACTGTTTGTTATAACAAAAGTGTTTGACTTATCATTAGTTTTAGAAAAGAAACCCTACAATAACATTCACCGTCTAAAATATGAAAAAATCGACTAATTTTTCTGAAAGCAACCTTCACAAAAGCCCCCATTATGTTTTTATTTTTTTGACTTTTTAACATTTGATATTTTCATGAAGTTCAACATAGTTTATATTGAGTTTATCAAATAACTGAAAAGTTTTTGTTTTTTTTATTAAATTTATAATTTTTTTTTTAATTATTCATATTTTAATCATTTTTTCGTTGAAAACTAAGCGCTCCCTCCAACAAGACATATTTTATTTTTATTTATTTTTTTAGATTTAGATTCCCTATAAAATTGCCCACAAAAATGATTTCCCCTTATTTTTAAAGTTTGATAAAAATTGGCAAAAAACAACACACTTTACCATAACATTCTTTGTCTAAAATATGAAAAAAGTGCTTGTTTTTGTAAAAATACTCTTGACAAAAACTCATTTTCTGTATTTATTTTTATGACTTTTTATGAACCAAATAATCAATTCTAATTCAACATAAGATTCATTTCCAAATAATCATTTCTTAAAATTCAACATAAGATTTTTTGAGTAAATCAAAAATTTTATAAATTTTCTTTTTTTAGTTATAGTTTTGCTCTGTTAATTTCTCACATTTTAGTCATTTTTCCGTTCAAAACAACGCTGAAACCAACGCTATTTTACCCAGCAAGGTATTATTTTTTTAAATTTTTTTGCAGATTCGGAATCTCTATAAAATTTTTCACCAAAAGTAACTTTGCCGTTTTTGAAACTGAAAAAAAAAAAAAATCGACACACCCTAAGGGATCGTCCATAAATTACGTCATGCATTTTTTGATAGTTTTTGACCTCCCCCTCCCCCTCATCGCAAAATCGTAACACGAAGCAAGTTTTGTATGAGCTCCTTATCGCGTGACGTAATTTATGGACGACAACTTACCAAAATTAAATAACCCTAACCCCCGACAACTTACCAAAATAATACGACAAAATTTTTTAGAAGCTGTCACGCTTGACGTTCTCTTGTCAATAATTGTTGTTGTTTTTTTAACTTCCGACGTTAAATTTCGTTGAAAGTTTAAAATTTATTTTAAAAAAGAAAAAAAATATTGAAAAAAGAATGGAACTTCCAAATATAGGAAAAAATTGTTCATTAAGTACATGTAATCAATTAGGTAATTATCTGTTATTAATTATAAGTATTTTCAATTTTCATCAATCAATTTATCAATCAATTTTTATTTTATGAATGCAATTTGTTTTAAAAAAAAATTCTTTGAGTGTCTCTACCCGGTAGAGATGTGTGAATCATTTTTTTGTAGTCTACAACGTAGAGTCAACGTTGTAGACTACAAAAAAATGATTCACACACTTTATCTTATCTTGACGATAAACATTAGTGCGTTAAATTCTTTAATATGTTTACAAATTTGAGCATAATGTAAAAATTTTAAAATGAATTTAAGCATACTTCTGTTGTATAAATTTTATGCTATCAAAGAAGTATGCTTAAATGTATTTTCAAATTTTTAAATAATGCTCAAATACTGCTCAAATATTGTTATAAACAAGAGAAATATGTAGCACAAATTATTTATTTTCAAAATCACTTCGCTAATGCTAAATCTATTTTTAAAAGCACGAGGGCTTTTTATTTTAATCAAACAAATATTTTTAACATTTTGCAATTTATGTTTCAATATAGGATTTAAAAAATCTTGAGATTTTTAAAAACATTTTTTGTAAAATATAAAACTGATCAAAGTTGTTAACAAGGCCAAAAATAGCAAGGCCAAGGCCACATGTTCCAAAGCAAAGGATAAGACCAAGGACAAACGTCTAAGGCCAAGGCAAGGAATTCCAAGGTCATAGCCAAGAACAAGAGTTTCAAGACATATGCAAACATTTTAAAGGCCAAAACAAAACTGCAGACAGCATGTGCTCTGACAATAAAACCATATGTTGTGAAATAAGACCCAGGCATTATGATAATATGGAATATGGAAAATATATATAAATATATATATGTTTTGTATGATACTCTATATACTTTATGTATTGTGTTATTTTGTTATAGACTAGTATAATTATAGCTCTTTTGAGCCAACATAATTAAATTGGTTATTCTTTACAATCAAAAGAGCTATAATTATACTAGTCTTATTACACAGGAACTAAAAAGTTTCAGTATGTGTTTTTTTCCGTAGTCAATCAAAAGAGCTAAAATATGATTATGAAATAAAATAAAAAAAAGATGGATTGATTCATGAAACCTGACAGACTTGGCATAGATCCGAACTCAGCAGATGCAGCAAAAACATACCACCATTGGTTAAGAACATTTTATAATTTTGTAAGTACAGTTGATGATAACTCCTTTAAGCTTAATCTCCTAATAAACCATATTGAACCTAATTTATATGAATTCATATCAGAGTGTGATGATTTTGAACAAGCAACAAGTATTCTCGAGTCTATCTACATAAAACCAAAGAATGAAATATTTGCAAGACACATTTTGTCAACACGGAAGCAAAAACCAAGTGAAACAATAGATCAATTCCTCATTGAACTTAAAAATTTATCTAAGGACTGTAAGTTCACTGCTGTTACAGCTGAGCAATATAAATCTGAAATGATTTGCGATGCGTTTATAAATGGTTTACTCTCCAATAGTATACGCCAACGTTTACTAGAAAACAAAATGTGGGGACTATTCCCCATTATCCATATGTAGAAATCCATATACTTGCAAATCAAAATACTTATGTTTTCTGAAAGATCAATAAATATAGAATGATTCGTAAAATTTTTTTTTTGGTATTATTAAGACCACATGGGTTTCTTGAGCATCAAAATCAGTTATATAAAAAAATTGCCTGAATTTATTTAAATTGATAAATACAGGTACTTAATAAAAATTTTTTATATTTTCAATCATTTCATTAGGTTCCTCACCCCTGAAAATAGCCAGGTATAATTTGTAAGTAAAAATGTTTTTAAAGTTATGTAACTTAAAACCTCTGAATAAATGTTGCAATTCTGAGGGGGTAAAAGGGGCTTGGCCAATATCTACTAAAAAGTTAAAAACAGGTTAAAAAAAGTTTAAAAAAGTTAAAAAAAAAAAAGGTTAAATAGTTTTAAGAAACTCTTGAAAGGCGTGTGTTTATATGTGTGTGTGTGTGTGTGTGTGTGTGTGTGTGTGTGTGTGTGTGTATAATTTTCATGTATAATTTTCACTCTTATTAAACTAATTTAGATTTCTTACCTATTATATGTGATTGTTGCAAAAAGACATTTTGGTAAGTTGAATTCTTTTAAAAATGTTAGTTTACTGCCAAATGATTTTTTCAAAAAATTTGTAAAATATTATTTTTAAATTTATAAAAAATGTTTTTTTTTTTTAACTAATTTACTTCCAGCAATGCTGCAAGGTACCATGAGTTAATTATAAGTATTTGTAGAAGAGAGAATGAAATACAACTTTACAACAACCTTACAACAACCTTACAGCAACCTTACAACAGACTTACAACAACCTTACAACAACCTTACAACGGACAAAAACTTAGCAACTAGAGCAGATTGAACATTATGTTTTTGAAACTTGTCTAGAAGATGGAGGGCATCATAAAAAAGAAACCAAATATGACACAGTATTGCATACAGGGATGAATAAAAAATTTATAGAGGTAAAGAATGTAATCAAGAGTAAGCAACTAAGCAAGCAGGATAAAGAGAGGCAATCTTAACAGATGCTAACTTGTCGGCAGTAAATAACTTTTTATTGTGTTAAAATTCACAAGCTACTGTTAGCTGTCACAGAAGAGTGGTCAGATTCAAGATGGCTGCTTGTTTTTGAAACTACTGTAAATGAAGTAGCTTCAAGGACAACTTTAATACTGTGGTTAGAAAGATATGATTCTAATCTCTAAAACTTTCTCAGAGACACCATATGAAGCAGAGAGTAAGTTCAACTCAAGAAGTTTGTTAATTAAAGACTTAAAGACCTATTATTAGAGAGAATACTGATATTAGAGAGAATACTTATAAGAGAATATTTATTGGGATCATTGTGTTCTTCAGAGTTTTAAAAAAATTGGAACCACAGATGCTATTTTCCAGTCGGCTAGAAGATTCAGTTAAATAATAGTTTAGAGTTCTTTAGAACACTTTTGTAAAACTATGACAGGAATGTTATCTGGACCATAAGAAGCCTTAGAATGATTTAATAGAGAAATAACTTTAGCAATTTGGATGTCTATCAGTTAATAGCAGTTTAATGATATGTATAGTATATACATTGACAATATATGATTAAAAATATATGGTGGCAAATACTATATACACTTTTATCCAATGAATAAGTTTTATATAATAAAATAAAAAGCAACAACTCTGGGATAACAGGAAGAGTGTAGTCATGACATTTAAGAGACAAGTTAGTAGAGAATTAGGGGTCTTTGCAAGTAGGCCTGCTTTATCTTTGGAAGAGGTAATAAAATCAGAACCTAGTATTAAAGATTTGATTTGGTTTGGTTGGCCAGGTTTGTCTTAGTTATTGTTAAGTATTAAGTGTCTACAAAACTTCTGAAGTTCATGATTTTTTATCCATTTATTTAACCATAAAATTAAAAATTACAAGTTTAATTATAATTTACAAAGTTAGGTTCGGTGTCACTCATTTAGTTAAAAACTAGTCAATGGAGTGACACCTTAATAAAATCAACAAATAAAATAAACAAAAAATATTAAAACAAGGAAATAATAAAGAAAGTAAACTACATTAATACAAGCAATAAAAAAAGAAGTAATAGGAACAACAGTATTAAAAAAGTTGGAATCAGAACAAAAATATAAAGTAGTAAGGTTAAAAAAAGAGAAAAAAAAAGAGAAAATGAACGGATGAGATAAGATGAGTGAGAAAAAAATGTAATGGAAAACAAAAATTTTAATTACATAAGTTCAGAAGGATAGAGTGAGACAAAAAATTTTTGCTGAAAAATATAAAAAACCAAAATAAAGGCAACTTAAATAAAAAAAGTATATACATATGCTACTATATACAATATTAAAGCCTTTATTACGCCTTAATATAGATTAATTAAACAAAAGTAAATATCAATAAAACAAAAGTAAAGATATAAAAAAAGCAACAACAACTAAATTGACAGAGAAAAATGCAAAAAAATATATTCAACAATTTTTATATGCATAAATACACGACTTATAAACTATGTATAATATTAATTAAAATTGTTTTTTTTCTTTTTTTTCCATAAAATATTGGCGGCAGCAAAAATTATTTTCCATTTTCGGAGACTATTTTCTTATAACTTCATTTTTATTTGTTTCAGTTTTTTTTCTTGTTTATTATTTTTATTTATTTAAATCCTTTATTCTTGTTTATACACTTATTTTTTAAACTTTTATTACCAAAATGTTTTTTGATTTACTTTTCTCAGCAAATCGAAAAAAAAACTTTTTTTTTTGATTTGCTGAGAAAAGGGGAGCTAAGCATCAAACAGTATCTTTTTCAATGATTTCTTACAATTATAAAAAGAGATTTGTTCTCAAGAGAATAGTTTTAGTGAAAAAAAAATGAAAAAAAGAAATATTAACTGCACAAGAAGGTAAAAACCGCGGTGTAGAATAGTTGGTAGTGTGATAATAAAGTAGTGTGTCTAAAGAAAACGGTAAAGGATTTATAGAGATCATAGCAAGATCCAGACCACATAAGTGAGACCACAGAGAAAATGAACATAAACTAGGATTAAAAACAAGACTTAAGTCAATGAATAAAGATAAGTGATTAAGCTCTGGAAAACAAGTTGCATAGTTAATTATCTGACTAGGAAAGACAATATGAGTTATGAGCGGCAGCAAGGTTATATGTCCTAAAACCAAACTCTTCAGTGTGATGAACATTCAAGTCACCAATAACAAAATTACTGGATGCAAAATAAAGGAAAAGGGCTAGGTCAGCTTGATCAGAAATAACATCAAATAGTGGAGTATAAACTAAAAAATTTTTTCCCTCTCAATATATATATATATATATATATATATATATATATATATATATATATATATATATATATATATATATATATATATATATATATATATATATATATATATATATATATATATATATATATATATATATTAATCGGCCATGTCGAAATGGGCGAGAAGAAACTTGTTTCGATGCCTGCACTTGGATATCATTTCACTTTTTTTGTTAAGTAGATTTTTATTTTTGGAAAACAGAATTTGATATTTTTCATTTATACACAGTTTGCAAGACTTCGTGGTTGGGTTGTAAGCATTGCACTGCTTAATTATTTTCTTAATTTATTTTATTTAATTTTTTTAGTATTGCTTTGTTATTGTTTTTTCTGTTAATTTTTGTATTTTGTATTTTTTAACGGTTTTTTTCTTGATCTAAAAGAATAAAATATGGCTGATGATTGCCGAAGGGCATGAAACTTCAAGTCCCATCACAAAGTTGCATTTTTTCAAATAATCAAACTCTTTTATTATTATTATTATTATTATTATTATTATTATTATATATATATATATATATATATATATATATATATATATATATATATATATATATATACACGTATAAAGATTTAAATTTTTATTTATTTTTAGACTCCTGAGACCAAATTAGGAGTAACTTTTGGACCTTTTTTTTCTGTATTCTGAAATTGTGTATCAACCAGAACATTAATTGCTGTATTTTAAAATAATTTGCATGTTTTATGCTTTACTTTAATGAATATATATATGGATATCCATATCTTTACATTATTTGATTTCATGTTTTTATTACCTAAAACTTTTTTATTCATAGTAAAGAACATGCACATTACGACAATCATGTTTGTCCTACAGCAACATTAAAGGTAAGCTATAAATTATTTTATACATGCTGTGACATCAATTTGAAAAAACTCTTTTTAAGGTTGTTTTTTTTAAAAATAATAATATTTTCATTCCCAACAATGTTGCAAGCAACAATTATGTTTTTAAAGGTTTTGTTATTTATATATTTTTATTCTTTTATTGGAATTATTATAAAATGCATTTTATGTTTTTTAAGTGTGAGGAGCCATGATTGTGGCTTTCATAGTGTAAGGAGCTTTTGAAAAGTGTCCTTTAAAACAGTGACTTTTATCAGCCAAATTATGCTGTTGGTACATTAAAAATAGTAGGACTAAATTGCACACATTATCTTTTCATATGTTATTTATATACACATATTGTAGTCAGTGAAGAAAGACTGGAAAAGAGTTTTTAAGTTGCAACGATGAAAGTAATAGTTTGATTTTAAGTTGCAAAGATGATAGTAATAGTTTAAGAAATTATCATAGAAAAGTTGTATACAATCTTAGTAAATTAACATAAGCTGAGCATTTGAAATTTTGTTTTTTAATTTTTATGTAGGTTCTGGTTCTGATGGTGATAGTAATGGTGGTAATGTTTTAGATTTGTGCCTCTCTGTTTTATGATATAAACATGGCTTTGATATTGTTCTCTTTACTATTGAATCTGGACCAATTGGACAAAGCATACTAATTTCAACTAATGTTAGCAATATTTAATTACCTATACTAACAATTTTTCTGAAGTTCAAAATAAAAAATGTGAGGTCCTTTCTAACATGAAGAGGTCATGGATTGATAATACAGATATAAATCTTTAAAAGAGAAGAACATTTCTTAAAATTCTAATTAATATAGGTTTCATCAAAATAGCTAATCATAAACTGGGAAACCATCATCATCCTTGATCATCAACATCCTTAATCATCATCATCCAACCGTCGTCATCCTTATCATTATCATCATTCTTATCATTGTCTATATCTTTTACTGCCAGAGACAGTAAAATATAAGGACAATGATAAGAATGATGATACTGTTCCAGAGGCGCCACTACAGTTAAGGAGACTCAGCTTTTTCATTTTTTTTTATTCCATATATAGAAAAATCTCTCTGAACCCTAATTCCAAAAAATGAATTTATTCTTAATGCTTGGCAATTAACTTTACTTGTACTTCCAGAGAGGGTTGATTTCAACCTGGAACCTTTTTACTGTGAGCCAAAGGTTCTGCCACTAGTTTACCACCTTGTGTAGTAGTGTGTACTGCGAATAGTATGTGTGTGCAAGGGAAAAACTCTGAACATAAATAAACAATTATAGCAAAAGGATGCAACATAGTTGGATGACCAGTTAAGCTAGATTGAATTTTGTTTGATTTGATTGAACAAGTATTTGTAGAAAAGAGAAAGAGATGCAGCCTTGTAACAATGAGAGAGAGGGCCTCATTGCAAAAACCAACCCAAGTATGACAACAGTACTCCATACGAAAATAATATATGCAAATGAGAGATTTATTAAAGTGCAAAATGTAATGAGAAGTGAGAAGAGAGAACTTACTATCACAGTAAAGACTTTACCATGGATTGAATAGTTTCTATTGTTACCATGGATTGGATAGTTTCTATTATTACCATGGATTGTATTGTTTCTATTGTTACCAAGCAGGGATGCAAAGTCCCAAAAAGGACTCCGGATTTGAAAGTCACAAAACATTACTTCATCCAAGTTTTTGGTATCCAGGAGCTCTAAAAATATAAATAAGTTTATGGGCTACTAATAGGAAAAAAATTAAGACTTTTAGATTAGAGGAACAATTATTTTTCGACTCCTTAGGTATAATGGCGGCAAGGACTCCAAGACTCCAGAACTCTGGGCTTAAAAACAATAAGTTTCAAGTCATTAAATCTCATGAATTTTTTACTTATAGCAGATCATAAGTCAACAAACATGTTTTGAGCTTCTGGACACTACAGACTTGGAAAAAGTAGAGATATAAAGCCGGAGTCCTTTTGGGACTACGCATCCCTGTTACCAAGGATTGAATAGTTTCTATTGTTACCTTGAATTCTATAGTTTCAATGAGAGTTTATTAATTATTGATAATCTAAGAAGGCAAAAAGTTTGAAACTAAGAGATTTATATATTCAACAAGAATATCAACAGTATTGCAATAAACATTAGCAGTTTGTTCATCAATTGAGTTTTGTTTTTGTTAAAATTTATTAGCCACAGCAAACCTTGCTGCTGAATTAGCATCTACTGCTATTTCCATTACTAATAACCCAACTCCTGTCACAGAAGATCATATTCAAGATAACATCATCATATTCAAGATGACATCATCATATTCAAGATGACATCATCATATTCAAGATGACATCAACTTGCTTTAGAGGTTATTAAGATTATTTAGTGTTTTTTTTTTAAGATTATCAGGAATATAATTAATGTAAATGAGGAATACAAAAAACAAAACCAAATACAGAAACTTGTGATACCCCAGAAAGTACTGAAAATGAATGAATGAAATGAATGAATCAGAGTGTTTTCTATCAGGAACAACTTTAATGCTGTGGTTAGAAAAAAATGGTTCAATAATATTAAAAACCTTCCCAGAAAACTATATGAAGTAAGCTAATAGAGCAGGCTACCACACCAGATTTTATTAAAAGTCCTTGATATGTCAAGACCAATAGCTCTTGCCTCCACTCTTCTTTTTTATATCTATTCTATACTTTTAATAGAACATTTCTGCTATATTAGAAGTATAGATATGTTCTATATTTAATAGAACCTTTCTGTTGTTATGGTTAACAAGTTGATGAATTCCATCATGACGGAATCACCGATTTGAGATTATTTTCCACATTTATGTTATAAAAATAAAAAAACTGTAATGTGCATATTGTTATTCTATATAATATATGTGTTTGTCACACTTTGGCCTGAAATACTTCTAATACCAAAAAACTATAAATACATAATAATCATATAATATTAATATAATAATATGGGTGACGGAATCACCAATTTATCCATAAATTGCACGCATATTATCCATAAAATATTTAATTATATCCATAAAAATAAATAATTATATTCATAAAAACATGCATATTATTATAATAATATTATATGATTATTTATGTATTTATATTTTTTCAGATTCAATAAAATTATTAAGAATTTTTTTTTTTAATATAATATTAAATAAAAATAGTAATAACAATAACAAAACAAAACAAATGAAATTTTTTTTTTTCTTAAGCTTTTTAGAAAAGAAATATTTTTGATGTTTTTTAAAATTATTTTTAGGATCGCCGAGCTCCTACCTGCCCTTTATGCAATAAAATTGTTTCAATCTTACCTCATGAATCGATTGATCAAAAGGTAATTTATGATATTTTTTTTCTTCAATTTAACCCAATATTGTAATTCAAAAATTCAGTAAAGTAATGTTTGGAAAATATTTTGAATTTATCTTTTTCACTTTATCTGAATACAATTATCTTTATCTTGCATTGCTAATGTGCTGTGTAAACTTACTTTAATGAAAAATTTAACTAATGCCATGTGCAAACTTTCTTTATTGCAATGATTGAAGTATTTTTATTGAAGTAATTTTTTATTTGCTTTATTTAAGAAATATGCTGTGTATCCTATATATCAAGTATGTAAACTTTACATTACTTTAAAAGCTGTCAAATATTTCATATATGTTGTAAAATACTTTCACATCTAAGCTAGATGAATTGAGAAATTAAATATCAACAAAATTTTATACTTAGACTTGATATTTTGTAATCAAAGATTAAATCAAATTTTTTTGTTTTTGATTTTTTTGCAGTTTTGATTTTTTTGCAATGCTTTTGAGAGAGATTGCAAACTTGAGTTCCAGTGTTGTTTCTTTGCTTTAAATTTAAAACAACATGCTACATTTGTGCAATCCTTTTGAGTCAAATGCCTCCCTATTCAAATACCTCCCTATCCAAATGTCTAAAATTTAACAATAATAATTACTTTTGAAATATTTGCAAAAATGTTTCTTTTCTAGAAATTAAAATGTAACGGTGGATGTAAAAAACAAATATGAGGCAAAGAAATTTTGAGGTTATTTTTTAATGC